CTCAAATATGACTGAAACTTTATAATTTCAGGGACACCACAAGGACCTAATGGTATTCCAGCACTTTTATGCAAGTCTTGGGCCCGCTTTAATTGTCTGCGACAACAGTGATTGATTCATTTGCCAATGGTATTCTGTTTGGACGGTTAAACTTGTTCTTATTCAAGATAGAGCTTGGCTGGAGACTTGGCAAGTCCTTTCTACCCTGCACAGCTTGAAAAAGTCATCTGCCTTTTTTTCGCAATACCTCATCTAGAAATTGCATTGCATCGGATTTCAAGTACAATGCACATTTCTTCAAAGAGCAGGGGCATAATCAGGCATACGCATGGATGCACTGTGCATACAATTTTTTGGGCCAACTATGATATTCTCCATAAATTTTGATATTATGACAAATATATTTTGTTCCTCAATTTTCTAGTTAACACCGTGTATATTTTGTCTTTTCAACCATAGTATATTCATTCATAAAAAGCAACAAAATGTAACTAACATTTTCTTTCATATGAGGATGAGAGCTGAAGCAATGTACGAAAGATGCCCTTGCGACATCACCCCTTGGGACATCCTGTCTAACAACTTGCCAAACTCTTGGTTGCAAAAATCTTTCATTGGCCCATTGGACATCCTCCAAACATTGTCCACGGAAGGGATCCCCCTCTCGTTCACACAAATTGTGTAAAATAGAACATGCCATTATAGTGTGTACAACGTTTTTAAGGTTCATGTCTAGTGTTTTTAACCCTATAGCATTCACATTCCTGGACTGTTTGACCTACTTAAGTGTCCACCTTAATTCCAGGAATTAATGCTGAAATCACCCTATGCTAATAAAATGTAAATATCTTCAAAAACCTATTGCAGTTAGGATCTTCAAATTTTCAGCAATTATTCGTGAATAGCAGCTTTATCAGGCAAACAAAAAATAATTGACTCAGCAGCCGTGAAAGGCATGCCCTTCTACCTTCCACCAGCTCTCAAAGTCACTTCTTGCAGATCTTCTAGCGTAAAACCATAAAAACTTGACTTTCTCCATTTCGCCAAAACAGGAAATGAACCCCTTTCAAATTATCAATGAACGTCAAATCTGTAGTTTTTGGAATTTACTTACTACCTTGGGAGGAATTCTTCTTTTTTGCTTCTTCCTTTTGTTTCCTCTTCATGCATTTTTCTTTGTTGGCTGTAGAGAAAGGTACACTGTACACACATTTTTCAGACTAAGCAACTTCTCTTTTCTTCAAATGTATCACTACAGGGATAGTACAAATAAATCTGAATTATTATAGGACATGTATACTTAAAATCATCAACCCAAGTCTAAAACACTGACATTATCAAGAATGCCTCTCAAAAAAAAAAATAATAATAATAATTAAAATAAAAAATAATAATAATAATAAGATAAATAAATAAAATGAAAAATGTGGATGGCTGGGAAGCATACTAGTGAGTGCATGAGCTCTGTGTTTATGCACAGTCCTTAACACAAATGGGAGGTCTGTCGACATCATTTTTGTTAGAATAATAACATATTTTCTTGTCCTGACTTTTGGAATCAAACACCTAAAAAAGGACCAGATATGTACCCCTCCAACACACACCTTCAATACTGAAAATGAACACTTGCTAGATTTATACAGTACCTTGGCTTCATCATCTTGCCCAGCATGTGGGACTATGCATAAGGCTCCTTCCCTAATTGAGCCATCTTGTGCTATGCAATGGCCCTCTGAAGAAGTAACATGGTCTCCTTTGAGGAGACTCAAAACCCCATCCAGCACTAATTGCACCACCACCCATACAACTGAAGTTAATATGTATATATTTATCAAGATATAAAAAAGATAATAAATAAGTCTCGAATAAAAGGAAACATAAGATTAAGGTAAAAGTGACCAAAATTATGAACTTACTGAGCCAAACCAAGCCGAGTCTTCATTTGCTGTCCCTCATTGAAGTAGCCTCCTTGAAATGAGCGCTACAGATCGCCGAGTGGTTTGTCACAGCATCTTTTAACTCTAAATCCCATACTCTTGTCAAATTGACAATGTTTTTTCCATTTCTGAGTAACTGCTTTATTTTTGGGTATGTGTGTATCCAAATACTGGCATGTTCATTAGTATTTGAGCACCCACTGACAATTCAATGTCTACCCATGTGTTTCAGATCTGACGACCCGTCTGAGGAGTCACTCAGATGACGTCACAAATATTTTGCTCAACTGACAATGATTGGGGAATATGATATCTCTTTATAGCTAACATTTTTGTTGGCCTCACTGTCTCATTGGCGATTGTCTGTAGAGCTCCTGCCATGACTGGGGTGACAACTCCATGAGAATGTTTCAGTACACTTATAGATGCTGCCTGGTTAGGGATGTCTTTCTGAAATGCTATTCCCTTGGTATTGGCTACTTGTCCAAAGGTAAACTGTGAGTTGAAGCGAAAAGGGGGTATGTTGAGAGACACTTTTTTTACTCTAAACTGGCTGCCTTTGTCAGTCATTACACTCACTCCTAAAAGGTGCAGTATTCCAAGTAATCAAGTGATTTCTGTAGCAGAAGTGTAGCTACTCAACAAAGATGAAATAAATGATATAGCACCGTTTGTGGCAATACCAATGAGAGCTTTAAATGTGTTATGGCTCTTGTAATTTGAGTATGTTTTGCTGCTTAAAACAAGGGATGAAGGGATTTGTATTCTCATTTCAGTACAACCGAAACGCATGGCCTAATATATATATAATACATTTTAATATTAATATATTGAGATAAAAACACTTCTTAAAATAAGAACATCGCAATTTGTATCGCATCGCAATTGGTATCGTATTTATTTTCAGGCACCATCATAGTCAGTTATCTTTCTCGCACTGTAATTTTGGTAGCTACACATGCTGCATGTAACATAAAATCTTATAAAGGTACATAAATTGATATAACACATCGTTTAAACTCAAGAAATCACCCTCTTCTTCAGAAAATGACTCATTCCCCTCTGAGCAAGGAATAAACGCTTGAAAGTTCCGACTGCACAATTTTAGTATTAATGGTAATCTTCACAAAGCTTTCATGCTTCATAGCATCACAGTCCTCTGTTTGCTTGGTTCATTGCAGAAATGCAGCTTCTGTAGCAATCTGCAGTTCTTATTGTATAGATTGCCTCCTGGCATTGCTGTATTATTTCCAAACGCTCTTTGCATTAGTGTTCATTTTTTTCTCAACCCTCAGAAGAACCTGTCATGTTTTTGTTTTTGTTGATTCTTTCTTCTTTGGTATATAATCTTTCCATCAGATTATGCAAAACCTCTGGGGCCCGCTTGCCTTAACTTTCATGTCCAAAATTTCTTTCATGTCCACAGGTTGCGGAGCTGCTTGTACCCAAGCTGCGTTGTGTATGTTCTTGTTGTTGTAGATTGTATGTCTTGACTACATGTCTTGTGCTTGCATGTATGGGGTGTACTGTAGGTATGGTATCTGTTGAGTATTGCTGGTGTAACTTGAATAATTGGGTGGTGGTAACATATAAGTGTAGCCTTCTGATGAATAGGCTAGGTTGCATTCTTGTTTTTCACTGCTGTGTGTCATTTTACGATCTTGAACCAGTATTCAGCAGAGGAGTTTGTATCATGGTGGCGATTGTCCATTAGGAGCCCCTACCAAAAGGGTGCAATACTCAGGGAGCCGCCATGTTTTTTCAGATTGTTTGTCTGGAATTTTGTGACATAATCAGTATGAGAAGTCTGTCGATAGGACAATTGTACCTTATGACAAATAAAATTCTTTCATAATTGATGTATGTTACAAATATAAAAGTGTGTAATTTATTTCTGGTGCTTTCTACGCCAGGTGAAATGGTATGTTTGGTGGTCTTAAACCTTCCCTTTTTCAGCTCTGACTGGTGTCTTGTGGCAAACACAGTGGGACTTAAATCTTATGGGGAAAATTTCACCCAGAGCAGTTTTATATGGCAAACCTGTTCATTTGTCAGGGCAGCACTGGAGCCAGCCATATTGATCAAACCGTGGGCCTCACCTGCGGTCACAACAGACATCACGACTCGACCATGTTCATTTCCAACATTAGTACACCTCATTGTTGTCTTACTTGCTGAACCAGCCAGTTCTTGACCATCTTTTTTTATAGAATCTTGTTTCACAGTATTCCCATACTGACTTGTCAACACTGCTTTTAGTTTAGGAAGCTTGTCCATTACATCAATTGCTTATTCATATGTTAACCATCTTGGCTGGGGGAGGTTGTACAAACACTGGAGGGGCATTGAGTTCTGTCTGTGAAGCTTTGTGGAAGGCAGCACAGTGTGAGTCAAACTGGACAACCTTCCACAGCCAGGCATCCATGTGTTGCGCACACATCTTCTGTGTTTGGGAGCTGCTATTTCCTTGGCTTTTCTCTCTCTAAGCAGATTGATTACTTTAAAGTGACAACCCAACATGGCTGTCAGTACAGGTGGGAATTAAAGATGGTGACCAACATCCAGGTGCTGGAATATGCCCTTGCCCCAACTCTTCTAAAGGTGGAGGCTAGTGGGCTCGTATGCAGCTAACTGCACAACTGGGCATTGTGACCCTAATCTTCTTACCCAGTCACCCCAAAAACCAGTGGACAAATTGCCTGTAAGCTATGTGCCTCTTGTCTTTTATCCTCTGGTCCTTCAAAGGCTTTCCCCCCATATTGCTGCCTGAAATGCATCCAAGCAGTTTCGAGTACCCACTTGTTCAGTCAGACTGGGTCCAACCCTGGGTGATCTGTAATGCACTGCACATTCTCCTGTTTGCTTTTGTTCTGTACCACTTCCACTTCATGGCAGCAGATATTCTCTGATGCACTTGGCAGAATTTGGCAATGCCAACAGGAATGCACTGCACATTCTCCTGTTTGCTTTTGTTCTGTACCACTTCCACTTCATGGCAGCAGATATTCTCTGATTCACCTGGCAGAATTTGGCAATGCCAACAGGAATGCACTGCACATTCTCCTCTTTGCTTTTGTTTTGTACCATTTCCACTTCATGGCAGCAGATATTCTCTGATGCACTTGGCAGGATTTGGCAATGCCAACAGGAATGCACTGCACCTTCTCCTGTTTGCTTTTGTTCTGTACCACTTCCACTTCATGGCAGCAGATATTCTCTGATTCACCTGGCAGGATTTGGCAATGCCAACAGGAAAGTAGAGAGTAAAACAGACGTTGGTGTATATGTAGAGCATAGCAAAATTGCCCCATTACTGAGTAATTTGCCACTATCTTACAAGTCTGATTTGCATCTGTCTTCACAGTGAATACCCTCACTACCCTCTGCATCACTGGCATTGCTACTTGTATCCCGTGCCGGCAGGTCCAAAACATTAGGTTTCACCTGTGGAAAAACTTGCCGCACATTGCTAAACTCAGGAAATCATCCTCTTCTTCAGAAAATGACTCAACAAATTCTGTCACAGAGCTCACTGCAGTTGTTTTCTACCTCTCTTTCAAAAATAAAAGCTCATAAATGAAAAAATAATGTACAAAATTCTGCCACTCCTTACTTGATCTGTTGTCTAATTGGGTTTGACCTGGGTGACGGCTTGGTTGAAGGGGAGGCAGGTCACAAGAGTGGTAGGTGCAAGGGGTGTTCATTGGTGGGTAAAGTTAAGGGCGACGGTTTGGCTGAAGGAGAGGCAGGTCACTAGGCGTGGCGGGTGCAGGGGTGTTCAGTGGTGGGTAAAGTGAAGGGCAAGGGCTTGGTTGAAGGGGATGCAGGTCACAAGGCGTGGCGGATGCAGGGGTGTTCAGTGGTGGGTAAAGTGAAGGGCAACGGCTTGGTTGAAGGAGAGGCAGGTCACATTGACTATCTAATGTGTCCTTAAATTCTTCATAGCATTTGGACTTGAAGAGATTTTCTTGTATTGAATAATGTGGCTTTCAGTGTCTCCTTCCTGAAGATGAAGTTGCCATTTTGACCACTTTCTGTATAGGGCTTTTATAGAATTCATTGGAATGCCTTGACCAGTACTTCCCTCAGCCTGCACTCAGTTCAGCTTTCACCCTGTCACTGCCTATTGTTTGACGAAACTGACCCTGTGGTTTTGTGGTTTTCCTATGTTATATGCAATATGTACACACTTTACAGGAGCGCCCCCCTATATATCTTGCATGAATGACGATACACGAGGTACTACTACAGTTAAGAACCGAGATTGGATCGTTCAAATCTTGTCTTTTGTACTGTGGGTCAAGGTTATCTGTTAGTATCAGGTATCAATAATTGTCTTTAGCTACTATTTGTGCATTTTTTTTTTTTTTTTTACTTTATGTATAGAATATTTTGGCCTGTCTTGTCGAGGTAGCTTACTGTGGTAAACGTAAGAAAGTATGCAGATCCTAAAACAATCCATTTGTGGTAATCACCATTTTTCAAAATGGAACATTGCCTCAGCTTTCCTCACTTTTTCTTCATTCTCGCAAAGTCGCTTCTTAGCATAAGTCCTGAATGGCTGGCTGAGGGATTGGTTGACCAAACCCAAATCTGCTCCCTTAAGAACTGTTTCTGCATTCTGGAATTACATAAAAACAAAAATGTTACAAAGTTGCAAGCAAGTCTGTTTTTAAAAGATGCCCATGCTTTTATAAAGTCCTTTTGAGTATAAAAAGCTTGAAACAAGGATCAACACAAAGTGCTTTGTCACATTTATCACATTTATAGCTGGCTCCTTTTCCAGTTCTCTTACTTTTTTGCCCAGCAGGAAATTGCTGCCACTCTGCTGTAGAACCCACCACACAAGCTCTTGTTATGTTTTTCCTTTTTCCTGTTGCTGTTATTTTAATAGGAAAGTGTTGGCCCATAAGTCTAAATAGAGAATCATCACTTGTACTGGGTCTGCCAACACTTCTAGAGGGGTCCAAATTTCCATGCACTGAACTAATCAAATCTGCAACAAGGCGTTTGCGGAATACCCTGTGGAGTTTGGGGTTGCCAACGGTTATGGTCTTGTACGATTATTACTTTTGTTACTTTTCCTTTAAATAATGCTTTTACACATCCTTTTCTATGCATCAGCTTGACCTTTTCTATTGTTGACATCTGCGGTACAACCATACTGCAAGCAACGTCCATAATATCTTGTGGAATATCTTCAGCGCAATTTGTCCTACAATGGAAGAGGAGTAGAAACACTAGTAATAATAATGCACAACTTAATGCACAATCTGTTGGGATGTGGTTACCTGCAGTTAGGTGTATACACTCTGTTGCTAGAGATCTAGCATTGAAAAAGAGTCATCTGCACATGTGCGTGCACCATTTCCGCTCCCAGGCTTAGAGGCCACTACAAATTCTAAAATGTCCCCCCTGGCCTCTCTTAAGGATTCCCAGATGAAATTCATTTGTGATATTTCATTCCATTGTCTGCAATTTTAAAATCATACATATTGACATAAACGCAATACAGTTCTAATTTAGTTCATTGCTAAGTGGAGAAAGAAAAGCTAGCAACCCTAACAGGTGGCAGTGAGAATCCTATCCAAAAACCTTCAGAAGTGAGTCGGCCTCCTCTGCTGACACACTTGATATCATTTGGTAACTCTCCAGTGCCTTTTTTGGATCACCACTGCCACCTCAAGCACCAGTAACACCTCGCATATCTCTACAGTTGCAGTTGAGCTCTAAACTCATCCACAGCCCTCTGTTCTTCAGGAGTCGGTTTCCCAATTCCCCCTGTTTACTCGGTGTCCGTTGCAGCCTGGTGTCCAGAGCTTGACGTCCCCACACCAACCACCACCATCACCACCACCAACCACCACCACCACCACCAAAAACCACCACCACCACTGTGTAGTTAGTGGAGATTAAAATCAATTGAAACTGAAACTTTTCAAAATTTGAAAAAAAAAAATCCTCTTTAATTTCAACCTTGCATTGATTATGACAATCATGTTAGTGTTCCAAAAAATACATAGTTATAACACCAGCTGGTGCCAATGCAATATGTTTTGATGTTCACCAACAGCATGCACATGGTATTGTTAGGAAAGGTTAAGTTTTCAATTCATATATATTATTTATTATTGTTATTATTGGGGGAGGGGTCAAACTGCCTCATTCGTCTATTTCTTATTATTTATTACTATTTTTATTATTTTTTTAAATTACATTTTTGATCAACATTTGTTGCTGGTTTTGGTACCAAGCATTGTCTCTTTGCCTTAAAATGAGGTGCCATGATTTTCTTTGTATGTATTTTAAATCATGTACATAAAAGCTAATGAGATAAGATATTAATGAAGACACTCACTTATTTTAATCACTGCTATTCTTGTTTGTTAAAACTTTCTTAATTACTATGATAAAGTTTATAGATTAAAATATTTTGAGATTGTTTTTTTTTTTTGTTTTTGNGGGAGGGTCAACCTGGGGGGATCATCTTAGCCAACTTTTATAATTTTTTTGGAAAAAAAATGTGAAAAGGAAAGAAAATTGAATTTAGATCAGTTTGTTTGAAGAACTTTTTGTCAACCAATAAGCCTTGTGATACATTGATTAAAGAATTATGAAATTCATTGTTTTTTTTTAACATTTTCTAAAATTCATCTAGACCTTGAAAAAATTTTTGATTAAAAATACTGAATCAATAACTTGAATCAATGTTTCATCAGTATCATAATCCATCTTTGTTCAGTACACTGTTTTAAAATTATGCCCCTCAACTTCATCAGCCTGTTAACACTTTAGGACTCTTTGTGACCTTCAAACCTACCTGCGGGTACCTCCCAGGCAATAGAGACAGATTATCAGATATTGGTAGCAGTAGCATTATTAGCCAAAGTGCAATAACACATGCAGCAACAATGGCACCTGCTTTCAGGGTTCATGTAATTTTGGTGGTGTTGGTATGTTCCCGACTGTCTAGTGTGATGGGCACCAATGCTACTGAATCTGTGGTGGATGTTGCTGCAAACCTGAATGCTAGTATATTTGTGGATTTTGTGGAGAAGCTTCCAGAGTCTCTGTCACACTATCTGAAGAATGGAAAAGGTAATGCAGTGATGTTGTAATTTATTTTTCCAACAGATGAAAGATTGAATAAGGAGATTGTGTTTTATTGAAAGGATTTATTAGTATAGATTTTTGAAAGTTTTTTTGTTTTATTAATATGTTCAGTTCTGGAACGGTTACCATTAAATCAGTAGAAAATTCATGTTAAAAATGTTTTTCAAATATAAAATCAAAAAGCAAAACTTGAGTTTGTAGAACCTTTATATCTTTCTTCAATTGCATGTGCATCATGAGTGCATTTCACTACTTTCTTTACAGGCCCCTTCACCCTCTTTGTTCCCACCAATGCAGCTTTTGCCAAGTTGCCTGCTAACATAAGGAATCAACTCCAAACCAATAAAACCTACATGATGGATGTCATGTCTTTTCACATTGGGGAAGGATTGGAACTGAAGGCAGACTTCATCAATGAAAGGCTGATACCAACCCTGTATTCTGCTAATACACAGAAAAGGGTGCGGCTGAATGTGTATCAAAAGCCAGCAGAGAAAGTAAGTATAAGAGTGCATTCCCAGAGATTTAGATCAATCCATCCGGATCGACCTAACTCCCTGGGGGTTCACGTTAAATTGCAGTCAACCGAGCGCGCACAACAGTTAATTGGCCCCTTACAGCTTTTAGTAGGCGAGACAGACGCTTAAGCTGGCTAAGCTGACAGTAATCTAGTGAGACTCCCCACAGAATAGATCGATCTAAGATCTGTGGGAATGGGGACTAATATTTTATAGTTGTGGTGCAAAGAGGTCTGTATGTACTGGTGCGTAGGGGATATTGTTAGAGAAAACATGACATTTATGACTGCATTTAAAAATTGAACTTCTATTCATGCCTGATTGGTTGATATTTCTTTGCACTGTCATCTCACTGCTTTCAGTGTGTGAGCCCAGGCCCATGTCAAATAAGTAAAATTGAAGATTTATTTATAAGAAATAAGTTAATTAATTGTGTACGTGTACATGTAAAACTCCCCCGAGTCGGTAAATGTGTAATTGAAAATTTAATTATATACTGACCACCACTTAGTCTCTATTGAACTCTGTTCCATCACTTCTTGTCAGAACTTGTGATAAACTGATTATTTGCTCTGTGTCAATACTGCAGGTTTATACAGCCTCTGGTGCCCCAGTGAGCAGATTTGATGAGCTGGCCTCCAATGGGGTGGTCCACCTCCTGGACCAGGTGATGTACCACCTCCCCTCACAGTCTGCCGATGATGTCATTGTTCTTGCGCCGGAATATTTGCAGCTGGACTACCTGATTGAGATGTCGGGACTCAATGCCAGTACAATAGCTGGAGGTGACATTTTAGATTGGTTTTCTATAAAATATATTTGTCTCTGTATCTTATATCTATATTTGATAACTACAGAAGTAGTTCACTTTACTTCTCGTTTTTCTAAGGATGCGGAAAAACTAGAACTATTAGAAATTGGAAACAGTACAGTCACGGTAAAAGATGAGGTTAAAAACCTTGGAGTAATTTTTGATAATAGGTGCGATATGGCTGCCGACATCAGCAAAAAATGCAAAGCCGCTTTCTATGGTCTTAAAAAAATTTCCAAACTATCCCACATCCTTGATAAAAGTCAAATGGAGAGGCTTGTCCATGCCTTTATAACTTCACATCTTGACTACGGAAACAGTCTACTGTATGGTCTTCCTACCTATCAAATTGAAAAATTGCAATCTGTCCAAAATGCTGCAGCACGACTACTGACCAAAATCCCTCTCAGATCAAACATTTCACCCATTTTATTCGAACTACATTGGCTTCCTGTACGACAGAGAATTGTTTTTAAATTACTGTTGTTTGTTTTTAAATTCACTAGAGGTGAATGCCCCTCATATTTTAACTCGATGCTACATCCAAGTACACCCAATCTCACCAGGTCTACCAGATCCACCTCCACTCCTTGTTTTATCAGAAATGATAATAAAAAAACAACCAAAACCTACGGCCACAGGGCATTTTCAATTTCAGCACCAATTTTATGGAATCAATTACCCTCATACATTCGGACTATTGACAGTGTTGAGGTTTTTAAAAAAGATTTAAAAACATTCTTATTTGCACAGTATTTTAATTAATATCTTCCCATTTTATCAGAAAAAAAAAGTGTTATTGTTCAGACCATTACTATTTTAACCAGTTTTAATTATTATTATTATTATTTTATTTTTTTTTTTACCTTAGCTTTTATTATATATATAATAAGTTGTAATCCTAATAATTTTACCTGTAAACAGCACTGAGACGCTAGTGTAGTGCGGTTTTAAGAAATAAATATTATTATTATTATTATTATAATGTTTGTGATATAATCCTCTTAAAACTGAGCTTCCAAGTACTGTTAGAGAGTCCTTTAAACCCTTTGTCTGGTATCAGAATTGGTTTTCTGCTAAATAGTGCTGGCTATACAGATGAGCCTCAGGTTCTAGCCCCTTGACTTGCATCAATGACATTTGGTATTATTGATGCCCTTGTTTTGATTTTTGCTGGTTTCCTTTTTGTGTGTTCTTGCATGGAACATGTTTTACTGGTACTGTTTAGTTTACTTGTTCTTTATTATCTTACCTATTCAATTTCTGGTTTTTTTAAACCTTCAAATATGATGATGTATAAAGACAAGACTTAATTGTTATCATATTTCAGGTGGCCCCTTCACTTTCTTTGCTCCCACCAATGAAGCCATATATAGCCTTCCCCCAGGGGCGATGTACGAGTTTGAAGTGAATCACATGGCACTCATAGGTATGACCTACTTTTTCAGGCGGCCCTTTCACATTTTTTGCACCAACTAATGAGGCCATAGCACATCTGCCAGATGGTGCGATGTACGAGTTTCAGGTTAACCACATGGCTCTCATAGGTACAGTGGACTCGTTTTCCCCCAGTTGTTCTTTTTTTCAGGATTTCCAACAAATTATAAATTTTAAAAAATTCCCACTGTGTAGAAATTGACAAGTTAAAACTTTGTATAATTGCATAAACATTGCACAGTTAAATTTACATTAGATTGAATATTATGAAATACATACAATTTATGTTTACGTATATCTATTTCAGCTGTTCTCCAGCACCACATAGTGAAGGGGACATATTATGCAGCAGGGCTGTACAATGGACAGATATTACAAAGCTACCTAGGGCAGGATTTAAAGGTTATCCTGAATGGTGAGATTTATTTCAGATTTGTTTGAGGACAAATTTTCATTAATAATCTTAGAGAGGTATTTATCTTATTGATGGTAGTGTGAAAATATAGTTTGGTGACAAATTTCAGAATTAAGGTAATAGTGCATGGGGTACCTCATAAAATTCATGGTTTGATTATGTTTTTGTCTGCAAATTTTAAACATACAAAAATAAGTAATTATTTAAATAATTTTAAAAATGTGTCATTCATAAAGCAGATAAATTATTATCATTACTTGTTTTAACACAAAGTAGTCTTATTCATTTTACATTCTGTGAAGACTGCCTTTACATTTTGCTTTAGCAAATAACTTTATAACATCTTGTTTTGATGCATTACACATTTTAACAAACTGGTTGTTGAAAATTGACTTTGGTCGTATGTTTAAATACTTTAAAATTTTCTGCATTTTCTTCTAGGAACTGTGGTGCTCGAAAGTGTTGATAGTCCTAATACCGTAACCCAAGTGACCTCAGCAGATGTCTCGGTCACAGATGGAGTCATGCATGGTGTCAACAGGATGATGCTTGTGCGCTATAACTAGATTTTTATTTTTTTCAAAAGTGTCCACTAAACAGCTAACAAGGGGATATAAATTATGATTTCTTTTTTCATTTTTTATGGAGAGAACATATCGACATATTGCAATTCAAACAGGTAACTGGTAGTATGACTTTCTTGATCAGTATAAAGATGGATTTCTAGTCATCAGGTTGGTACATCTTTCTGATTCATGGACTTCCCAAATGCTTAGAATTGGAAACTGGGACCATTTTAAGTAATTTCCAATCACCACTGATACCTGAACATTGAACCACATGAAAGTGTACAGGGCTGAGATTTTTTTACTATTGGCAGATCACCCACTTAATGGGAGCCAGATATATAATTTTCGAGTTTGATGCAGAATATGCAACAAAAACTGTTGAGGGGAGGGGGGGGGGCTTAATTCAGACCGAATGCAATTTTTTCAGATTTTTATTACTAAATGGCAGTCTATTTCCTATGTGTATTGTGCTGCTGTACTTGGACCCTTATCTTGTACTATATAGATGTGTATTGTATTCTGCGTGTCTGGGCATTGCACCAAGGCTACATATAAAACTATTAGCTCGTCTAGCTGTGATATTTGTGAAATATGCATAAGTTTTATTGTTTTACTACTTTCAAAGTTTAAATTGTTGATTTTCTTTGTCCATTTTAGTTGACTAGTCAAAATTGAATAGAATAGTGGACTAACAATTTAAAAAATGGCTGTAGAAATTTAAGTTTGTAGGTGTGTAATAAACAATGCTTAATTTTCTTGGGTATTATATACTTCACAAAGTGTAATATGAAGTAGAAATAAAATGTTTAAAGAAGACAAACATTTTAAAACTTGTCATTTTCTAAATGTTTTTAGAATCATACAAAGATGTTCTGAAAATATTTAAAGCAAAAATAGGATGTCTTCTGATATATTAGCACTTTGGTTTTTACCCCAGTTTATAAGACACAAAAAGTAAAAGTATATTATACAAGCATGCTACTATACAAGCTGTCAATTCTAAAATTTATCATCAAATTAAAAATTATTGACAACAATTTGTCATCCATGCCTTGATTTTGGGTTTAAAGAAAACAAATAAGGAAATAATGCAATTAAAAACCATTTTAAGACTTCTAACCAGAATAAAGAATTTATTTCCTTCCAAATTGGATACAAATAATTCCACTGATCCGGCCAGCAGATCAGTCTTGTACTAAGATGTAAATACAACACCTTACTGACAACAATTACAAAACATACATGTAAGTCCTCACTTACACAATTACTACTGGATTTGGAATGTTCACTATAAATCAGAAAGGATAAAAATCTAATTCATGTTAAGGTTATGCATGAGACGGAATGGCAGTTGTACGTGAACATTGACGATGTTAATTACAGGAAAAGTCATTTATAGTTTACTGCTACAGCCATTACATGTAACAGTACTGTTATTTTCATTTCTAAGAAAATGCAATGACAACGCCAAGAATTTACTTGTCTAAAATTGATACATTGTGAACTGTTTCACCTCTTTTCCTAAATAAAAAAGATGCAAAGGAAATTTGACTTTTACTGCCAATACAAGTATATTTTTGAAAAAAAAAATAGGATTGAGTATTTGCCTCAGACTTGTAAATCGAGGGATCCAAAATGACCAAAAAACCTTGGAACTTGTTTTAAAAATATCATGATGACTGGATTGCTAGAATCTGTTCACAATAAAAGATTGGAAAAAAGCCTTGGTATGGGACGTATTTGATCATCAATGCTGTTGCTCTATCTGTATTGAATCCTACAACACAATGATGGTCCCTTTCTGACTTCTGTTGGTGAAGTTATTATTTCTGGAACAAATGTAGTGGTAGATTCCTTTCTTCAGTTTCAGCAGGGCTCCTTCATAAGACGCAGGGGCATTGTTGAGGAGATTGTTCATCTTTGTTTTTCTCTCGGCTGATTCACTGGCACATTCACTGGCCATTTTACATCTGCAATATTCAAAAGTTCAAGACTAAATTTTTTCACATATAATGAAATTGCTACTTCTGATATTTGAACTCCACCAAGAGCACATGGTCTGTTTTGGTTAAAATGGAAAAGATAAAGCATCCCAAGAAAAATTCAATATTATACATGCTTCACATATTTGTATAAATGAACCATACAGCGAAGTAAAGGCCATATTCATACAGTATAAAATTATTTTAATTATTCCTTACTGATAATAGCCAGAGGAAGCCATGTTTAGGGCCAGATTTTTGGGGGTGTTGATATTCTTGCCATGGTATATCCATTTTACTTCTGCATTCTTCCACAGGGTGGTCTTATTAAAGGTCAGGGGAAAGTTTTCATCCAGTACTCCAATCTGAACAATGTTATTTCTGTCTGTTCCTGAAATGAATGCAAAAATCATTAGATGTACATGAACTACACTATTTATCGAGCGTCATGGGTAGACAAATTTTATCCTCAATGAATAAATATAATTTATTGGTCACAATAAAGGGATTTATGTGTGATGAGGGTATTAATGTGATGTAAGATGCCCAGGGACTAAGATAGGTTGATAGAAAGATAAGCTCCAGATGCTTTTTCCCTAATTACAGACAGGATGTCTCCGCTTTGTATTTCACGCTGTTAAGTTAATTACTACCAAATGACACTGGTCAGATACCAGTATAGCAAAACCTGATTGGACAGTACAACCTAGTCTCATTGTGATCAGCCAATCAGAATCATAAGGAGTTCAGCTTCACCAAGAACAAAGAACACTCTGTCTCACTTCCTTAGAAAATTTTAACCTAGTAGTACATGCTCACGAGAGAATAGTTTTTAGTGAATTTCATAAAGTTTCTCAAAAGTTTATTAAATAAATACACTGTCATAATTATGTTGGTTGAAAGTTTTGAAAAATTCTTGTTCGCTAATAGTATTTACCTTCCAGAGTATGTCAAACCATGGTATCAAAATAAAATTGGATAAATAAGTTTGTGAACGTAAAACTAAAATGCCACTGAAGATTTGTCACAAGAGCCAAGTATAACTGAGTAACAAAGCAATGAAGCATACCAAACTGTAATGAGTACATTTAACCCCAACCACATGATTACAGCCATACCTGTGGTTCCCTCCCCTGCGTCACCTGTCTGACCGTCACCACCAGGAGCACCGTTGTTATGGGAATTGGAACCTGAAGAAAAAACATCTTTTAAGTCAAATAGGTAGTTTTAATCAAGCTTTTCATTACTGTGCAAATATGAGGGACTACACTGTTTCTGTTGTTTTCAAAAGATGAATCACTGACAAAGATGACGCAATTATATATCACATCCCCACTTTCTAAAAAAATGAAATTGAACCTAAAATTTTTTATACTGGTACGTTCCTTGACTCTCACAACCACGTGTTTTAAATAGAATAGCAATCATATACACACCGTTTTAACAACTTCCTATTTTTTTTTTTTTTTGGATTTTTTTTTAGTTAGTGAAATATCAGTAGGAAGATATAAGTATTAAGAAGCATTACCTGTCCACTGAACATGAACCAAGTCATTTTCCATCATGGACAACATGTTAGGTATGAAGTCGTACTCCACAGCTGGGTACACTTGAACAATGTTCCCTCTCTTCCCCCTCACATTGAGATTGTAGATGTCGTGGTTCTCTGTCCCCGCGGGTCGTGGCTTCAAAATGAAAACATGGGAGCGATCTTGAAAGGTACGCCCAAACTGAGCTGTGTTGATGGCTAATCGCAGAGGAGAGTGACCAGCGCCTATTTCCACATATGGGTTTTGTTCCACCGGAGACATAACTCCTTTCCATCTGAAATGTTTTAAATGGAAATTGCACTTCTTGTTGGCACTGACACTTAGTGTTAAAATGGCATGATGTGTGGTGCCACCTATTGTTAAAATTTGCGGACATTTTCTGCCAACTGCAGCTGTGATATGTCATTTAACTATATACTAAATACACAAATTTAAAATACATTTTTCTCATAATTTCTTCAAGTTCAACATATTGTTTAAAACAATGATCAATGAATAGAATAACATTTTCTAGTGGTAAAACTTACAAGTTTTTGTTGGATTCAGCATTTGTGAAATATGGGTCAAAGTCGTCTGTGGAAATGTTGTACCTGAAAAGTTCAAAGATAGCTGAAAATTTGGCATCTAACTTTGAATCATTAATACTGCAAATTACGATCATATAACGATTTTATAGTTAGTACATATTCTTTTATCATTTACTGACTGGTCTTAACCATAATATAGACATCTTCTTGGCATTATACTGAAAAATCTCCTTTCCCTTAAAGCCTTTTGTAAAAACAGCTCCATTGAGATTCATTTCATACATTGAAAAGGCTTTAAAAAACAATGCATCAAAGAGTTTTGAATTTGTTACCATACCTAATTCTGAGCACACATCTCTGTGGTTTTCCCGAGGGAAAGTGAGGCAGCACCCAGGTGTAGTTGCTGGCAACACCATCTCTGCCATTACCCAGGTGATTGGACCTAATATCATAGCAACAATATATAATACACACACATACAAAACGAACCTTATTGTAAACTTATTCACTGACCAATCTCAAGTCCAGTAATAGTCACTGCAGCAAGCTGATGGTCAAAAGTTAGCTCACTACAAAACAGGCCCTATTAAATTACATTATATAGCTTACTTGCAACACATTTACTAGTAATATGAGCATGAACACATTATAGAACCAACTTTTCCACATAGCAAAATATACAAAACATGGCTGAGTGCATGTAAATCAAAATATAACAACAATTTTCATACTCTAAATAGTTATGAAGTAGTAAGCGCTGTCGATTATTTAGTTTTATATAAATAACTGCTTTTTTCAAAGTAAAGAATTAATTTCCATCTCACCTGGTCCAAGGTGCCTCTGCACACTCTGGCTGCTTCAGGGCCACTAGGCACTCCTTGGTGATTCCATCAGGAGAGTCGTAAGGTATAGCCCAAATATACTGGATTCCATTTCCTGATGCCCCAGTGCATGCTGGCTCACTTGTATAACCTTTGAAGAAAAGATTAACATTTTATCTATCTATTCTATGACTGATCAAAAAGTTCTTTTTGAAGTATATTTGTGGCTATATGGAGAGTAACAGTTTAAAGAAAAACAAGTTCTGAGAAGTTTAATGTTTGGTTTTATTCAAACATTATTTAAACTTACGAGGAGCCTTTTCCAGAAAATTGCTAAACTCCACCCATCTGTTTCCTGGCTCAGACTCGCACTTCGTTTGGTTGTTCCATCTTGAAAAATGGCGTCTGTCATTCCCAGAGTAATATTCCACACATTCACCATAGGACTGGACATTGAAACTCTTGGTCTGGTAATGGCTGAAATTACGTAAAGGACAATTACTTGTGTGTTTTTACAAATGCAAGGGGGGGGTGTCTCCATAACACTGAGAAACCTTAATTACTGATACTTTTAATTTTGTTTGGGCAAAAAAGGTTTTTTTGCAAAAAAAAAAACAAAAAAAAAAAACAATAAACTGGAATGAGTTGCCAACTGATGTTTAATAAAATCAAAATAACCAAACAATTTTAAACAACCAAACATTTAAAGTAGTAATTAACAGTAAATTGTCAAAATTTGGGTGTTTTTCTGAATTTGTCAGTATTAGATAGATGAAATATCAACTACATATCAGCCTATCTTAAAATAATGTTTACATATAAACCCGTAATTTTAGCCTAATTGCTGATTTACCCCTGTGGTAGCGTGTCTGAGTTTTAAAGTAGGTCACACTTGTCCATATATGTGTTTGATTGGCAGCTCCACTGTGCAGCTGTATATTTCCCGTACTAGACTGCTGCTAAGCCTTTCACATTCTGTGAGTAACGTCCCGCTTTCACTTGCCAAACAATACTTTTCATTTTGAATTTATCAGTGAACTTAATTCTGACGATCTATTAAAGCTTTAAAAAGCAGACATATAGATGAGACGTATATGGGCAAAGGCACTCCCCCTAGGTGTCACGTGGTGAAGAAGGCTGACGTCACGACTAACATGGTGGCTGCTGTCAATGCATGGAGGGGGCCTCTGGTTGAAAATGTTCAATAATAATGTTGAAAATGGATGAAAGACATAGTGACAGTTACATAGGCAGTGAGTAGAGGGCTGAACCAGTATAAATAACTAAATTTCTCAGCTTGCCAATGCAGCTCACTGATTATATAACGTTGGAATCTCTGGGGAGCACTAAAAGGCTGATTTCTCCGCTTCAGTTTATGGCTTCAAGAGAACGATTTAGACCAGTGTCAAAATTAATTAGAACTCTCAACCGATGAAAGCTGGCATTCATTCATTAGATCTAAGGTTTGTCTGAAATCACGTGTCTGGGATTTCATAACATCAGCTCTGTTTTCAACTTACGAGTGCTTTAGCTAGGCTAGGGGGTCTCGTTGAACTGGAAACCAGGTTTATTTTGATATCTCTGCTAATTTAACAGATATCGCTAATTTGAGGCGCATTCTTGTTGATCCCAGTGAGGGCTCACGAGTCAAGCTGTCTACACATGTCCATTTGTAGTGGACTTCTAGTTTTTAAGGTGTAAAGATCATGTTGAGCACACCTATTAAGCATTATATCTCATTACGTAACGATTACATAATAAAATAAGGATATGAAATGAAGAGCTGTTGAAATAAGCTTTCTATTGATATGTAACATGTTGGTTTATCTTGGGCGGTTTAGAAGATAGCTACCCCTGTTAATTACATCCTTAAGTTTTTAAAAAGATGTACATTTCAACATTAAAAAAACAACAAAAATCTATTCATTTTGAAAATTTCTACATTACTTTTAAAAACTGTACAGTTGCTATTTGAACTTTCATTTTTACCAATATAATTTATATAGTTAATCAAACACTTTTTTTTTACTTCAACATCATTATAGTTATCAAGACACTTGAGATTACTATGATCATGCCATCCACTCACTTGCACATGGATGCATTCTCTGCCAGCACTGCTATGTCCTTCCATGGTGTCGGGTGCCAGTAAGGGTAGTAATCTCTCTCCTCAGGGCACTCGTAGCCACGCCTGTTACCATTGGGGTTCTGTCTTGTGTAGATGGCACCACTTGTTCCAAGCCCACTGTTGGATTTCAATTTCTGATCGGCTGTGAAAAGTCCTAAAATGAAACAGTTGTTAAGTATATACTAATTTTAATTGAAATGATGAATTCTAATAAGAAAAAAAAATTGTATTTATGGGAGAAAATGATATTTTAATATTTAAAAATATCACACAACACCACAGATGTGGAATATTTATCAATTCTAATTATAATTTTAAAAAATCAATCCAGGAAATAATTGTATTTATGGGAGAAAATGATAATAAAGCTTTCCCAGATCTCCCTCAATTTCTAAGTTTACATAAAACTGTACCTTTATTCCTCTCCCTGACCAGGCACTTGTCATACCACTCATGGGGTTCTTGTAAAACTCTGTCAGGTTTTACGTTATTATTCTTTCGTCCTCTGTAAGTGCTCTTCAGCTCCCCCCGTGCTGCAGGGCGAGTGTAGCCCTGGGTGTTTGTATTAAGACCATCTCGCAGACGGTCAGCCTGGCCTGAAATTAAAATTACATCATGATCAAACTAAGAGCGCATTAAGAACAGATAATCTTACTGATTCGCCAACTAAATATGGCTGACCCCACTGAAAAACCATGTTGGTCATTCCCTGCTGGTCTCCCCACCTCCACACGTGCCGTCCCTACAGGGGCCTAGTTGGATTAGCCATATTTAGTCCGTGGATCTGTTAGTCAGTGGCTCAGCTTGTTCTAAATGCTCTTGAATATTGGCAACGAGGCTTTTCCCAGAGAGCTGCCAGCCATTAGCCTCAAAAAACTATATTTCCATAGAGGGCTGGGCAGCTTACAAAATTTAGGGTTGGTTGGTTGGGTATTTGCTTGGGTGGGATTCCCTTTAAATTGATAACCAAATAACAGACTCACAATTTGAACTCCCAGAACCCGACTTCCTGGAGAAACCCCTAATTGACAAGTTAATTACTTTTAGAGGTTAGTCAATGTGAGGTCTGTATAATGATGAAATGTTAGTTTTCAAGGTTCATTTTTTTCTATTGTTACTGTTATGCTCAAGTTGTCATTGTATTGTAACTATGAGGGTTCATGAATGAGTTCACTTTCCCAGTGTAATGTCAAAACATAGGTTTCTTATTCCGAGTTTTATTCCGCTACAGGTGGGTACAAGAATCAGGTGACTTCTCTTACTCTCTCTCTCTCTTAAACTGACTGACTAGCTGCAGTTTTATTTTTAATCTACACTATGATAAAATAAAGGTAAGTTGGGGGGGGCTATAAATTATGTCAGGTGACTTGCAGGTGACTCATATTGCAGGAAGTTATAATGAGTGACTATGATAATTGCCCACATAATTGTTTTGTGAAAAGGTGCCTTTATATAATCTGACAGAAAGGATGGACCAGTGTCCAGTCATCAGGAAACTAGGAAAATAAATGAATGAAATATTGCCAAAAATTACAAAAATAATATATAAACAAAAATGATTTTAAAAAAAATGATATTGCTATTACTATAATTACTTTCACTTAAACTGTTATTCTGAAAAAGAAAAAGAAACAATGGAGGGATGAATTAGATGACTACTGGAAGTCTTGGAAGAAGAAACCTTGGCCAAACTGGAAATCTGAGGCTCAGGATAGGAAATAATGGAAAAAGCATGCTGAGGCCTTTGTCCAACAGTGGAACACTATAGGCTCTAAATGATGATGATGAAACTGTTATTCAGACTTACTTGCTGTACCATCATCTGGCTGACACATGTACTGTAACACCATGTTACAGTTAACCTTGTGGGGATCAGTGTCCTCGTTACCACCACAACCATGCTGGTTGGTCCACTCAACGGTCAAGTAGCTCTGACCATTACTTGCTGAACTGCTCTGGAAGTATTTCTGAAACACGATAAAGGTCAAAGGTACTGATTGTTTATATTTAACAAGTATAAAACTATATAAATATATAATTTCTGATTTCTTACACACTTGGATACTATTTTTAAAAGGAGCATGTGTTCCTTCCTACAACATTTCCCCTTATGAAAAAAAAGCATTTCGTATCACCTTCTAAGTTTACTTCCTGTGAAAAAATTTTGAAGCCTAATTTACCTAATTTAATTTATTTTAAAAATATCCAAATGCAACTTATACCATGTTATATTGCTCATTTTCCGTTGTGGCAGCACTTGTGCCTTTATCTCCAACATTATATCCTCCCCTGTTATTGTTCTGAAAAAAAAAGAAAGCAATACCATCACACTGTATAAAAAGCTGTCAATTTTCTATAAACAAACAATTGCTTCCTTGTGCAACTACAGTAACAATGCAACAATTCCTTACAGCTAATTTAACTTGCATATTTAAGAGATTTCTCTCGAAACGAAGGATTTTATGAAATAAACGTGTGTGCAAATCGCAAGTGGATATGTCACATGCACCTAACTGTTGACTGGTGTATTGGACTTATTCTTTAGGGGACATGGAGAACAAAAGACACGGGCCTGTTGTATCTCACATTCAAGTTTGACGTGTTTGCATGTTCCGTACACCAACCTCCGATCTTTTGTTTTTGAGATCTGTTGTGGTTTAATGTTTCACAATGTGTTGCACATCTTATTTATAATTCAGCATTTTCTTTCAGAGCAAATACACAGATGTTGCCTTTTCATTGTTGTATGTTTGCATGTGGTGAGACAGGTGACATTTGATATTTGTCTTAAATCATAAGTGTTCTGATATATATTTACATACAGGAACTCTGCTTAGATAATACACATTAAATTAAACACTTAGTTAAGGTTTTGCAACCTTTAGATTAATAATAAACTAGAAGGAATGGATAAACCATTATTTTACAAGGATGCATGTACCAATCTCCTCAATACCCAATTACCTTCACCTTTTCCCAAAGAAGACACTCAAATTCTTAACCATATAAATTCCCAACTTTTTAATCAATTATGACTGTTAATGATTTCATCTTCTGTTACAAAAATTAAATCTAAAAAAAAAACTTCTTTTTAAATTGATGGTAGTAGAGACCATCCTCTTTAAGAGTATAACAAGCTGATAGCCATGAATAAAAATGTTGACTAAATTTAAAACCTTGTCTGGAACTCTACACTGTATACATGCTTTTGTCTACTCCTTTCATCAACTAGCTTGACTGAATTTTTAGAATTCAAAATGATCGTATTTCCCTTCTTTGAGTCATCTACTTCTGCTCCATCTTTATTTCAAACAGTTTGCGCTTACTTTTTAAATGTCACATTTTTTTTTATTCATCTTTTTATTTATTTATTTATTTGTTAATTTATTTTTGCATATTTAAACCAAAATGATGTTATAATGTTTACAGCTATATATTAGCCAAACTTACCACAAGAACATACAAACTAAAGTTACCTTTATCGAAAGTCCTAAAAGAAGTCAAAGTATATCACATGAACAGGGGGCAGCTTAGATATGCCAAAATTTTCACTGGTTTTGGTAAATAAAATGCCCTTGGTGCCAAAGATTAAACACTGGGCATGTGATTCATAACCTGCATCTCGATCTGTTTCCAAAATCACTGCCTGTCATGTATGACTAACAGTGTATCAAAAAGAAAAATAAACTTCATGTTAAAGTGCAGAATGGTATTTACTATGGTAGGACCACCTGCATGCAGAAGTCTTAGAATTTACCTGTGAATCAAACGCCCTGTTTGCATTCCGCCTATTGGCTGACCGCTCATTTAGTCTGTTGTTGCTGCCTCGTGGGTTGTGCATGTAAATGTCCGCAGTGGCGCATGCAACCGCCAGCAGTATGCATGTGAGTTTCAACATATTTCCTACAAAACAAAAATACATTAGTATTAAATTAATGCACTTACTGTACTGCTAATCAATTCTTCATATTAATATGGCATAAAATGAAAGGATTTCAAAAATGCTGTACTATGTTAAACCAATAATATTATAATTAATATACTGAGCTACTGAGTAAGAAATTGTCCAGACTCTTTGACCCTAGCAGACCTACTGAATTAATGTTTTCATCTGCTTGTTCTGAAATCAAAGCCACAGAGATGTACATATCAGAAAAAAAATTGCTAGACAGCTTGTATGATTACATCTATAAATCAAATAAGAAGCCCCTATCAAAGCATCAACTTCAGGACAGTTTTGCAGCGTCACTGTCACTTAAACTGGTGAGTCACTGTATGCCACAGTCTTAAAGAACATCTTAGGGATTAACTCTTTGATAAGGCTCCATAATTGAAGGTGTTCATTACTATCCATTTGACGTTCTTTGCTTGAAATTTTTAAACCCATTACGTACGATATTTTAGAAATATCTTTCAACATAAAACAGTTTAAATAAATGTTTTAAATTAAATTTAAACGTGGTTATTTACCCGGTCAACAGGACAGATCTGTGTGCGCTTCCTTCCACTTCCCTAATGGCGCTGCTATGTTTAGGTGTGAGTCAGTTTCAAGAGGGGATTCCTTGTCCTTATTTGGAAAATTAGGTCAACTTGATATCAATCCGCATTTTAAAAAACACGTGTTTTTCCTAATTTTTTTATGAAACATTCAGTTTGATTGAATTTCTATTTCTTAAAATCAAAAATATTTTAGTTAAGAAAAACATTCCGATAAGAGTTAAAGAGAGGCAGGTGTTTTTGTACTATATTGTCACGCGTCGTAATTCGGACACCTGCTCAAGAAATCGGATGACTAATGTGGTAGTCTTGTGAATTTCTTGTCGATTGCTGGTTTCGAGAATCGCGCTGGTCGCTGATTCCAACCGTTTTCAATACATTCCAGAGAAAATGAAGATTTTAGGAATTTTGCTGTTTTGTGTTGGTCTTGTTCAAGGTGACATATATTTTCACAATCCCAGGTGAGTGAAATAATTTATAAACAAAAGGTGAATACCAGTCTCTCATATAGCGAAATAAGATCGACAGGTGTTGCTAGACAGTGCGCAATGTTGTCTATTCTCTACAGGAAGAACGCTTACGTTACCATTACTATACTGTAATTGTATATGCCTCGCTTGTTCATGAACGTTCAGTTCATCTCACGCTGACCTCCGTATAAAAACTTACCGACAAAATGGGGGGGGGGGGTAATAGTAGGGGAGGTAGGGCACATACAACACAAAAGTATGAAATCACTCGTACAAGTGTGTGGAAGGGGTACATGATAATGGTTTTTTGGTCTAGACCCTTGTGTTAACAATGATGAATTATTATTACACTAAGTAAAAACAAGAAATACTACTTAGTAGTAAACTCAGAATGGAAAGGTACGACTACTCGTACAAAAACGTGCATTACAAAAACATTGTTGGCATGACCCCCCCCCCCCCCACCACCACCACCACCACCATAAAAAAAAAAAAGAATGCAGCTCGTTCAGTTAAGAAAGAAAAAAGGTTGTGAGACATTATGGGCATATGGTTTAAAACAAATACTCTAAAACTCCTGCACATTACCCTGTAAACCCCATCTCACTGATTTTCTCATATGTTCTGTGCTTTTGTTGTACTATCACATACATTGGTCCACTAAAATGCTTTTCTTTTTTCACAGAGGGTCCAATAACAGACTAGATGAAAGAGGCCGAGCAAGAAACAATGCCAATAGGTGAGTCCTTACTTGGTGTGCCATACCTCTGTGCATTACTGAATTCTTAGAATTGATACATTTTTGAAAGAAAATGAATATTTCTAATGAAGTTAGCAGACAATGACTTGTTATATATTTTACCTAGGTTTTGTAAAAGCAAGAAGTTTTTAACAATGGGAGAATAAATGCAAAAGATAGCAAACAATATTTTTTCAATAACGCTTTTTTAAGTAATAGCATATTTTCAGATGGGTTTTAATATTATTGTTTTATATTTACAAAGCATAAATTTTACTTTTGTTAACACCGCTGTTTTTTTCCAGGATGTTTGACTCCCAGAATAATGACCGAGGAGGTTACAACGTGGGAAGTGTGTATTACTATGCAGGCTCTGAGCTTCAAATGGAGTGGTAAGTCTGACCTTAGCCAGATCATATAAGCTAAATTTTATTTTTTATTTTTGTGCCAATCTGAATGCAGAGCAAAATTCAAGTTCTCTGAAGCAGCCCTAAATTGTCAGTCTCATTTTTTAAAAATAATTATATGTCCTTGTTTTTATTTTTTCAGCACTGGAATTTATGTATCAGAGTGTAATTACTTTTCATTTGATGTAATACAAATATTTGTAAGCAATGTCCTATTGATTTTTTTTTTCGTTGGAGGGGGGGAGGGGGTTAAAATCAATACTTAAATTATATATATTTGTTTTTAAATATTCACAAAAGGCATAGTTTGCAGGCATTTTGCTGCTATCCTGATAATGTTTAAACATTAATATTAAAATTCAAACTGTGTATGAAACTTTAACATGGCCAAAAGGGAGACCAGATACATTATCATATCTGAGTGTGAGTTAGGAAAGGTAGACAAATATTTACTCTCCACTTGAAAAGGTCACTGCATTGCCATTAGGTTAATTATTAATCTATATTGCGCATGTAGTTGTCCTTCAGTAACATTTACACCACAAATGTAACATGTTATGTACCTTGACCGTAATCACAATTGGTGTACATGATAAATGGGGAATTCAGTTTACCAGTACTAATTGAGATATATTATAAAGATCATACATATAATTGTACTGCTTTTATGTATTTGTGCTACATATCAAAGGTTTTTTTCATTGCCACTCGATGAACAAATAGATTTTTGAAAAGGGACCATGACAGCGATCAATGTTGGGAACAAAAAACATCTGATCTGTGAAGATTACATTGAATAATGAATAATGAGATGAATGAAATTAAATGAATTAAATATATATGAATATTATAGCTTTCAATTTTATCGGTTCTGCTATCAAAAAAAAAAAAAATTTGTACCAACTAAAAATAAATGAAACTTGGACTAAGAGGGCACTTGCATCACAAAGATTGATTTTTAAAATTTGCTTGCGTAAACATAATAATAATTTTTGTTTTATCATGTATGGTGTGTTATGCATGTTGTTAACATATACCCACATGAGGAGTTGTAGAGGAGAAAATTTACTTCCTGCTTATAGGGGGCTAAGTAGGGTCTACAGTGGTATGGGTTACCCTCAAACCACATCTTGACTTTCTGTTCTGAGTCAAAAGAGGTGAATCACAGTCCCCTGTCCATTATATGCCAGTCATGTTTCCCTCTCTGATTTCTATAAGTGTGAAATCTTTGGAGAAGTTCTTTCCAGAATAGCAATTCTGAACATTTGTTATGCATATGCTATTTTCAGTTCTGACTCAGAATCACAATTGAATTTGCCCCTATTCCATCATTCAGTTTCAGTGATTTATTTATATGTTAGAGAAATTTTCTTAGCACCTTTGTCATAAGATTATATACCTGATAAAAGAAAATGCTGCATCATTATTGCAGTCCTGACTGAATTTAGTCTCATTCATTCTCCTGTTATTTAGAGTTTTGTTTGTATTGTGATGGTAGAACTAATGGTATACTGCACTTCTTTGTCACAATTATCATATGCTCTAAGATGATAAAGGATCCTTATATGTTCATCTCAGCTTACAGAAATCTGAGGGAATGGGAATTTTTTTTCTTGGTGGGATTCTGTTCTTATTCCTTTAATAATGAGTATGATTGCAGTGATTTATGCTTTGAAGCAGGTATCATTTTATGGTCTGATAAGTTCTCATGCAATATTAAAGTGGCCTCAAAGAAAATTCAATTTTGTCAGAATGCAGTGAAAGTGGGTTACGATCTTTGTGGAAAATCTATATAATGAGGTATTATTATGATGCTTTTATATATATATATTGTTACCTGTGAAATGAGTTTATTATTATTATTATTACTATTAAGTAAAGAAAGGTTTGATAACAGGCAATATTTGCCCATTGCAGGTGATTTTTGCCATCTAATTAAGGTATTCTAAACACTTTTAAGTGTATTAACATTTCCAGTTGTGTGTCTGTGTAAAAAAACTATTAAAGGCACCCTTCATCTTTGTTTTAGGACCAACCAGCATTCCTGTGGTAACCCTAACAACCACTGTGAACTGATCATTCAGTACATGTGTGATGAGAAAATGAGGGATGGTGCGACTACTTCGTGAGTCCATGTTTTTGAAAATAATATTATGTCACTCATGACAGTTTTATCAAGGTTTACTAAATCTAAATGCATTTTTGTTAAAGAACTTGATGTATAAAACCTATATAAAGAGATGCTTTATAGAAACTGCTGAAAATCCATCTGTAAAACCAGTCAAAAAATCTTTCCTGTAACTTAATAGCAACAACAAATGGATTGTGGTTGTTGAGACAAAATCTCACCAAGATCATAACTAAAGCAATGTCCATTTCTATATTCAGAACAATCCCAGACAACCCCATGAATTGTGCCAACTATGACTGCAATACTGACACAAAGTATGGCATGAACGAGGACTTTGAATATTACCTGAACTGCAGGACCCGGGAGAGGAACAAGGGACTATTTCTTGCTGACCAGGTACACACCTCAAAGTTTATTTCTGATCAGTCCATTGCCTTGCATCATCATGTTGCAGTAATGATTATCTCTGAATCAATAATTTTTTCTTGCTAAGTAAAAAGCCATGGTCAAGTTTTGGTGCTAAATCTTTTGTCAAACAAAAATTTGAGTTTTCCTCATTCCAAATTTTTCTTAATTAGTAGCATTTATTTTAGGAAGAAAAGATACTTGGTAAAATATTTAAATACTTGTGTACATACCAATTGGTATAAAACTGTTACAAGTGATATGATCTGTTAAAATATAAATTGACATTTGCAACAGCTTCTGTATCTCATATAATTTTCTGCCTCATTATCCATCTCAGAAACCCAAGGGTCACACTGCAATTTACACCCGCCAGAACCCCGGGGGCACCAGGAGGGGGTATGAGTGCCCAGAGGAGAGAGATTACTACCCCTACTGGCACCCCTCACCTTGGGTGGTAAGATTAGATTTTCACAATAGTTTTTATTGCTAAACAATCATGGCATTTTTAATAGATACAATGTACTTAACATTTGGTAACTCACCTTATAATAACCCAGCTGTGGTATAATATACTGAAAACTTATTTTAGATATTTTGATTGGGGATATTAAATAAAATAAAATGCTTTATCAGATTTTGATTTGTGATGCTGTTTTATTTTTAACTCAAAGAAAGCATTGAAGAACATACTTTTCTATATTATTTGTAAGTCAGAATATTTTTAAATTGAACAAATCCTTGCACATTACTTACAAAAATGAAACTGACATTTATGCTGATGATCTTCAGGATGTAGCAGTGATGACCAACAATGCCACCAGATGTCCCTACTATCAAGAAGAAAGTGCCAATGTGAAGTCAAGATGGGCCTGTGTGCTACCTAGGAGTGTCCTGGTGATGAA